TTCAGCAAGTTAACAGAAAATGAAACTGAACGCTAAGTTTATTTTGATGAGAAAGGTTTTGAAATCCAAGCAGTCTTTTCATAATACTCATTTTCCATGAATTTTCAAAGACCCCCTTGTGTGCATGAATTTCAACAAATATTTCCATTTTTCAAGAACATCTTGAAAGACCCTTGAATTTGAACATGGAAACACTCCCTGGACATGCTCTTCATGCCTTTGACTAGGGAAAGAGGCCAGTTCTTGAGGTTGATGACTTTGCACTAGGAGGACAGGTGACACTGCATAGGACAGGCACCCACGGAAAGGGTGTGTGTGTGTGCCACACCTAGAAAGCTGCAAGTTTCCAGCTCCCCCTCAGTATATTATTATGATATTGGTGAGAAATAATGAAAAAGCTTCAGCCTTGGAATGCTTCCAAATTGAAACTTAGTAGTGTGGCCACTTCAAACATGCTTAGAATCCATATACATCTAACTATAAAGAAGCCACACTGAACTTATTTCTAGCTAATGCCAATCAGTATTATACAGTACACCTGGAAATATCAGTGCCTTTAAAAATTATGAGAAATATGTGTATCTGAATGTGATTATTTCAAATTCAATATGCTTTCTTTCTGGGAACTTGAAGCTCGCTTGTGTATACTATTTAAAATACTACTTTGAGTTTGCAGGCATGGAAAATATAATTTCTTTCCCATTTCACAGTTGGAAAAACTGAATTACAGAGAACAATGCCAGTAATTATCCATGATTAATAGAGGTGTGTATGTAAATCAGCCTGAATAAGTGTGTGAAATTAGATGTGCCGATGCCAGATTGCTCTGCTCGTGTTTTTAAAAGATGAATGCTTCCACATAAATCGCTGTGTGAGCTGGCACACATCTTTGCATGTATTGAGTGTATCTGAAAATGGGCTTCGTTAAAATGCATGGATATTAAAGTAGCTGAGTGTTATGTATTCTAAGTGTTGTGATACATACAATAAATTAGATGAGAGTTTAAAATTCATTAGTCAGATACCTATCTACTGAACAGGAATGTATACATCACAGTAATTTATAATGCAGTGAAGATCTACATATGTGCTGAGGTGTAGCGAATGGTAGACTTGAATTTGGGTGGGCTTTGATCATTAAAAGATTTGAGAAAAGGTGCATTTTACGTTTTTAGCATTTGGGGGATGAATAATTGAGTTAATACATGAAAAAGCTGTTAGAACTCTATTGGTATATACTCAGTACGTATGTTAGCTATTGCCTTTTGTATCACTGTCACCATTGGGAGAGCAGGTAAAACTGTTAAAAAGCTGAAAATGGCCATGTTCTAAATGATAACCCTGGATGACATAAACAAAACTGTGAGGGTTGTCCAGTGATCTTTACAGATCATGGGACTCTGCTTTCGATTTTTCCTGACATCCCTCTGGAGTCTGGGTTCAAGACCCACTCCTGGGAGTGCCAAGGGAGGGCAGGTGCATCTCTGCCTGATACCTTTATGTGGAAATGGACTCACCTGATACCAAGCCAGGCCACGAGTACACCAGCCTCCCTCCGGCAGGGTACAAGGTAGGCTGAGTTCAGATTTCTGAAAACCTGGCTTGTTTGTGGGTTGGATTTTAATTTTTTTATGCTTTAATTGGGGGGGGGGGGCTTTTTTTGTTTTCAGAGAGCGCTTTAGACAGCTGTATTAATCATGCAAACCCAGCCATGTGCAGTGCGTTTTATCAATGGAAAAACAGGGACTGAATGGCAAGCAGCTGTGAACAAACCCAGTGCAACGCCTGAACGTGGAAGATAATCTCGACATTTCCCAAGCCCACTCGCCACATGGAGTTAGTGAATGGAAAGGCTGTTCACTTGGGATAAATAATCAGATGGGAGACAAACAAGCGAGACACTTTCCAGGGTGTTGTGTTTTGTTTTTAAAGTGGCAGGGAGAGGGGAAGGCTCGACTGGTTGAGCATAGAGCTCGGGGGATTTCTCACTTGAGAGCTGTGGAAACAAAACAAGAGTGGTTTGTCCTTGTCGTCTCCCCTTCCTCATGTTGGTATAAGTTTTTCCAGGCTGGATTCATCACCCGGCTCTGAACCTACAGTCCTCAAGACGAGGGCATCTCTAGGTGCCCATGAGGGTAGGCTATGCTGTGGATGGAGATTCAGAGGCCTGAGGCAATGATATGACCCAGAGTAAGAAAAGTTCCCTCCACCCTCTTCTCATTTTACAATTCAATGGATTTTCTGCAGCAATATAGTCAGAGCTATTTATGCAAATATATGCAATTCAGGACTCATTTCAGAATAAATAAACCTAAATTAAAATTAATGGGAAAAACACCTATCAGAAACCGATCAAGGATGGAACCCAATTGTATTTATTTCTTTATTTACATCTTTTACATTAAGAGGCAGGGAAGTCACGCTACTTTTTCATTTTGTTTTGCTTTTGGCAGATAGGGAAAGGACATTGGAAAATCTCTGATTGGGCAGAGCCAATCAATACAAATTTCCCTTTGGTGTACGGCCAGTATTATTATTATCATCACTGCAGAGAATCAAGCAATATGATGAAGGAAACCCAGGGGAAATGCATTAGATTTACAGAGGCTTGTTTTTGTTGAATCACAGCTTGCAGGGTTTAGGACCACACTCCTGCTGCGCAGTCCCTGTCAGTTTGATGAGCCATGCCTAGTGGGGATGAGAGGGGCGGCCCTCCAGCGAGAGCTGGTAACAATGGAGCCACTGAAATGAATCACATACTTCTGTTGGGTTGGAAATTAGGAGCCCATGTTCCCTTGTTTAGTGCAGGAAGACAGAAAAGGATTTTTGTGGCTTTCTGCTTTCACAGCACCTTAAGGAAATTAATTGGCTCAAAAGTCTTCAGGCCATTTATGTCAACCAACTGCTTAGAGGCAGGTTAACACTTGGGAGATAACATGTAGGATTCTGCCTGGGTGATGACAATATATGATATTTAATTAAATGAAGGTATCTTGCACCATAGTTAGGACCACAGTGATGGGGTACTTAATGGACACCATAAAAAGGTTAGGCATCCTATTGTTAGCACCTCTTTCCATAGGAAACTGCATTTCACATGGGTTGCCCTCTTGATCAGAAAGAGGAAGAGAAAAATGATCCAATCCCTAGGAAGTCAAAGCCCTGGTAAAGAACAGGTAACTTAAGAGTGGACTATCTTTCCGTAGCTGCCTCTCACACCAGCTATCCCAAGTCTGAAATGAACAGCTTTTCAATTGCTACTAGCAGAAGCCCAAAGTATTAGTTGTAAGATAAGCTACAATCTCCTAAAGCTACTGGATCTAAGAAATGTAACTACAGTCTACTGACAAAGCAAAACTCAAACGAGGGTCATTCTCCAATCATTGATTCAGTTTGTGGGAAATGCAAAGTTCAACAAAATTCACATACTTCATCCCTCGTCCAGGCTGTTTTTCAATATCCAGTAGCTGTCCTCTGTCGACAGTGTCTGGCTTCACTTCGATCATAATGTGTGATCTGATAAATACTGGAGTTTGTGGCTGCAGAACTATCTCGTATCACAGTGATACCACAAAGCTCATCTTGGGTAAGGCAGGACCTCTTTGTAAATGTGATCCAATGGGACAAATGTGTACGGGCATGTTCTTCATATCAACCTATCTGCAAGATGGCAACATGATAAACTGGTGTCAATATCTTCAGCAACACCAGAAGATAAATGTCTTAAAATAATTGTGGCATGTCAGGAAATCAAAATGGGTTGTTTTCCATGAATACTAAGTTTAGCAAAAAGTCTAAAAAACAGCACATTTTAACAGTCTTATTTTTAGGAGCTGGGATAAGAAACAGATCTCATTAATGTTGTAAGGGAAGTTTTTTATTCAACAGAGTTCTTCTAAGCTTGTATGCTAAAAAGAGTTTGGGCCCTTCTTAAAATTTAAGAATAACTCTTTTATTAAGCTGTCTAGTTGTTCCTGGCAAGCTTGTAATCCTCATTTCAAATGAAATTAAAATAAGTTTGCAAAAATGTGGATGTATACATATGCAAAACATTGCAGTATTGACATTCTGAATGTCTCTGCACAATTTTGCTCTAATTTTTAATTCGGATGAGTGTTAATGAAATATGATCTATCTTTAAACTTATAAAACATCAACTTTCTACCTTTAATTCTGAGCACATTTCCTTTATAGTGTGTATTATAATCTTGCTTAATTGGATTTATTTTTTTCCGTGCTAGGCCCTGCATGGCCTAGTTTCCATTTTTTTTCTCAGGTCTTTGAGTGCTGTTTGCAAATCACTTTTCTGGAATTTAATTTCAATGGTAGGTTGGTTTCATTTCAGATTTTTTAGGGTATTGTTTTAATTTTATTTGCCAATTTGCCTTTAAATAGCCTTAAGCTAGAAAGTTGTGGTTGCAGTATGCATCTCAATGTGATGTAGGAGGCAAAATTTAATTTAAGTGTATTCAAAGTTTTTATGAAAAGGAATATAGAATAATGACCTTGTATTTGCTAAGATATTTATGTTTAAAAGAAAAAAATTCATGAATTGGCCAAGATTTTAAGCAAAGGTAATTTTCTTGCTCCAATCTGGTTGAGTTTAACCTTGGGTTGTATATGAATTCATTTTTATAAGTAATACCAATAACTTCAGATTCTTATTTGTATCAACTTCCAAATATGGGCTAGAGAACATGAGTTTGACTGTCATAAATATTGAAATGGCTAAATTGAGTAATGTCCCCTCTGCTACTGACCAACTTGCAGTTAGGTCATGACAGAGGTGTTACATGCCTTATCATGGACTGGTGGGGGGGGGGCAACCGATTGATTTTCTTATGATGGCTCAGTGAAAAAGAATGGTTTCCAATGTATGTGAATTTTGTGAATGTTTCTTCCTCCATTGTGATTTTTCCACATAACAGATGTTGGAGAATGACCCAGTAATAGAGCTACAGACCCAGTGGCAAAACTAGAGTGACAAAAATCATACTGACCTTGAACAGGGTGGGGGATTGTGGGTAAAACACGCTCTAAAGGGGGAAAAATAGGAAGCATCATGGAGAGTTTAAAAATAAATAAATAAATATATATATATGAAATTGCTTATGTTCAGCTACCCAAACAATCACAAAGCAGATGAATTTCTATGCCTATATAATTATAATTCCCATAAGGCATTTACTGCCCTTTCTGTTAACATTGAAATATCAAATAGGACTGTTAGTAAAATTGTAACTGCAAGGCACTTTAAAAAATTAGCTAGTATGGGGGACTATGTCAGATTGAAGTAGCCCTGTATGTAGAATCCTACCTTCTATGAGAAAAAAAGCTTGCCACCATGATTTTAGGTCTTTTAGAGATTAAAGCATTTCTAATAGTGATCAAGTTCAGGTGATATCTCTTAGTCCTAACTTTTATCTCTTTAGCTCAGAAAGATGGAACTGTAAACCCCCCACCCCCACCCAATACTTTCTTCTCCCTTAGCCCTGTTGCTCAAATCAGCTTTAGACAAGAATCTGGAACACTGATTTTGGGAAGTACTAACTCAACTTACCCCTCAGATTGTTACATCAATACTACTGATACCAGTGCAAGAGTAAGGCCAAGGTATTGAGTTTTGACATAATTTTATTTTTAGTCTATTCCTTAATCCCATCTTAGTATACTAAATATCACCTGAAATTGATCAAATGTGATGGATAATTTTTGTTGAGTCATAAGAAATATTTTCATTTTGAACACTAGGATGTGAGTTTTTACAAATTTCTCACAGTCTGATAATTGTACTTAAGCTACTGACTATAAGTTGACTGTGCTTATGGAGTTCAGCCTATAAGGTACTCTTCATTTATCTTATTAAAATCACAGGTGTAACACTAAACCTTCCTCTAAATCTCTTGGAGAGACAGAGGGTATTGTAAGTATAGGATAGCATTCATTGCCTACTACCCCCAAACACTACTAGAATGCCTCAAAAAGTTAACAGGAAAAGCATACTATCTTTTAACCCCATTTTCCTGTGAACTTTTTTGAAGTATGCTAGTATAATGTAAAAATAGTTAACATGTTTATCCACATTTCTTCTAGAAGCATGGCCAAACAAAGTCTAATGGAAAAAAGAAAGATCAACAGAAATCAGAAACAGAGGAACATGAAGATAGTCAAATGTGATCTGCCTGCCATAGGCTTGGAAAAGGAGATTTTGCCTGCACTTTGGTAAAATTGGACTTAGTACTTCTGAAGACTGAACAAACCCAGTCTCCTTGCAGAGTGAGCTTTTCTCTAGCTTGGCTGAAAGTTGGGGTTCAATGTGAAAATTTCCTATGTGCATTAAGATAGAGCAGGTCAGTAATAGCCCAGTGAACAACTGTGTCTTAGTTACTCAAGTGTCAAGCAGAAAAATGGCTTAAACCTTCACTGGTTATTTGGTATTAAGTTTCCAACTTTGAAAATAAATAGCTAAACTGCCTTCAGCATTTTTGTAGCAGTTGGAGATCACTGTCCCATATTATACTCTCTCTACTGTATTTTATTTTTATTATTACCATTATTATTCAGACTGTTTAAATGACTCAGCTTAATATTTTCTCATCACACTGTTCACAGCTGGGTACATGTTCCCTGCCCTCATTTCCACAAGACCATTTGTACTGCTGAACCACCTCACCCACCCTCTTCTCACTGCCATTTCAACAGCTTCCTGGTTGTTATTATCTTCTTAAGTCCACCCTGTTATCATCATTTTAGACCTATCATGCCCCATTAGTCATTCTTTTTCACTTAATTCCATCCTATGGGCTTATCTTTCCTTAGATGCGTCCCACGTTTTCTGAAGCTATTTTATAGTTTATGCCAGGATTTATGGGTTCTTGTAAGAGGATAAAGTGAAGCAAATACTACTTAACATGAAAAAGAAAATTGCCAACTTTTGATTTTCAAAAGTAGTAGAAGGCAGGAACCTTGGTACTATGTGCTGCTTCTTTGCCTGCTATGGTCAACATTGCATAGGAACTGGCTGGGAGTTATAGGAACAGAATTCTAAGGCCAGCTCTAGGCCTGTGTGCTGTGGCTCTTAGCTTTGATTTCTTATCTGCCAAATGGACAGTGGTTAGGGGAGTTCTTGGTTGAATCTTCTGGAACCATTATGAGAAACAGCCAAAAATAAACCTGAACCTGCCACAAGAAAATCCTTTGGCTTAAGGGCATCTCAATGGTCAAGGCTGGGGTTGACTATAGGTTTTTATATTGAGGTCATTTATTAACTTTGAAATGGTTTTTATTTTTCATCAGGTATTACAAAGATATAGTGATCTTTCTGGGAGACACCTATTATTTTTTATTTTTATTTTTTTTGACAGGCAGAGTGGACAGTGAGAGAGAGAGACAGAGAGAAAGGTCTTCCTTTGCCGTTGGTTCACCCTCCAATGGCCGCCATGGCCAGCGCGCTGTGGCCGGCGCACCGCACTGATCCGATGGCAGGAGCCAGGTGCTTCTCCTGGTCTCCCGTGGGGTGCAGGGCCCAAGCACTTGGGCCATCCTCCACTGCACTCCCTGGACACAGCAGAGAGCTGGCCTGGAAGAGGGGCAACCGGGACAGAATCCGGTGCCCCGACCGGGACTAGAACCCGGTGTGCTGGCGCCGCAAGGTGGAGGATTAGCCTAGTGAGCCGTGGCGCCGGCCAAGACACCTATTCTTAAAATGAAAACTAAACCAAGTGCTCATCTATTTCTGATTATATACACAGATAACCCTTTGAAGGTATTTACAGTGACTCATTGAAAACACATGTTGGTGTTGTTCAAGTTGGAGGTTGAATCATTTTACCATGTGGCACCCAAGTTAAGTGGTTTTGCCAAGTTTTAACTAGCATCATCAAGTGGCATATGTTGAAATACCAAGCTCTTAAGATGATAACTTAAAATGACTTCTGGAGGGGGGAAACCCTTATTATACAGATTGTCTCTAGCTTTGGGTTGCTTAGATGGTATTCAAATTTAATTATTGCTTTACATGAAAATGATCATATAAAACTAGAGAACTACAAAATAATGTGGTATCACCTAGTGATTTTTTAAATGTATTTTTTGTTTACTCAGTAGCCTCAAAACATCTTCCTATTCCATACGTTTCTCTGAAATACAAGGGAATTAATTTGTTGGACTCTTAACAGATAAGAATATTCTTAAAGCTTACTGCTGGCCACCAGGCTGGGATATTACCTGAGAAGCTCAATATGCCAAAGCTCAGCCAGCAGTCTCATTAATGGAGTGAGTTGAGACTGGTGTGGGTCAATGGAGATGGAAATGGTGTGGGAAGGAGGCAGAAGCAGGGCTCTTAGAAGGGATATGGCAGTACGAAAGCCTCATTAATGAAAAAAAAAAAAGAGGAGGGAGGGAAAAGAAAGATTATTACCTTACCTCCCAAATATATGACACAACCTCTTACATTTTTGTCTATGTGCATACATACAGATAATGGACTGGTCTAGGCACTCTGGAAACAGACTATGCAGATGTACTAACTTAGCCTTATCTTGTTGTACTAGTTACTTAACCTCTTTGTATCATGGAGAAATATAAGTAGTTAGTAGGGTTGTCATGAGGATTAAAAGAGATCATGTATGGGGAGCACTTAGCACAGTAAATACTACAGAATATATTGTAAGCACTCACTTGATAAGAAGTAATGGCATTTAAGTCATCAACCTTATTCTTTCTCCCTATCCACAGCACTGAAAGATGATCAACCTGCCAACTTTGTGGGTACACTCTGGTCATCAGTGTGGAAACACGGAATCTGTTACATTACATATACAAACTTCGTGGCATCACCAGAAGTTCAAGTCTTCATTTATGTGATGTAGAGACCAAGGAGCTGAATCCTTGCTCATTCAGAAAAAACATAGAAGGTAACACTTAGCCAAAGGGTAACAGATAGAACCTTGATCTGTTCCCTGAGGTAGTATGGATCCTTGACATACAGAGTGCTGGCGTATGTGGAGAATAAGACAAATGAGAAAGGAATGCTTCCATTGGCTTTGGAAAACATTACTACAAATACAATGCATTCTTGCACTCTCATTCTATTCGATTGACCCCTTTGGTTGGAAATTGATTTTTAAACAGAGAGTGGAGAACTATATGCTATGTATGTTGCAGAGGCTGAGTGACCACAAATTGACACTGTGTGAAAAGTCAGCACCTCCCTTCAGTGGCCTTGGTCGGAATGTGCTGACCCACCAACAAAGATGAATAATCATGAACTCTGCAGGGGCTCAGGCTCTGGGTCTCAGCCTGCTGCTGCCTCTGGCTGGCAGCAGCTTGCCAGCTGCCACGTGTGCTCTGAACTGCCTTGGTCAGCAGAGCACCCTGCTGCCCACACGGAGCTTCCGTCTGGGCCCGTGGCAGCACCCACCCACTCCCGAGCCTCTCTCTGTGCCCTCTTGACTTCACTCCATGGGAAAGGGCCATGGCCTGCACTTGCACTGTCTTCCTTCCTTCCGCTGATCTCACTGACTTTGAATCTAAGTAGCAGGCCGTGTGTTCACACCTGTATTCTCCCTTTTTCTTTTGTCTGCCTTCTCTTCCACTCACGCTTCTTCCTTCAGCCTTGTGTGAAATATCCCACCCAAGGACTAGATAGATTTTAACAGTGAACCTACCTCATGGTAGTGCTGGAGCTGGGGTGGGACTGCCAATGTTGTGACCAACAAGCGGAGAGTCCTACTCAACGCTCAAAATGCTTTGGTTCTAAGAGGTGACAGATTAACTATTTTGGGGGCAATTTTTTTCACTTCAGACCCCAATGACCTCTCAGTGTATTTATCAGTAAGAAGTTTTTGTCTCCTAAGTTTCCCGTAAGAAGGGAAACCAATTCCTAACTCACTGCTGATGCACATGCGGCCTCTGAATGCTGTGAAATGCATCAGTGGCACCTACATTGGCTGTTGTGGAGAGGTCTATGTGTGTCTACTAGGAAGCAACCCATTAGTAGTCACTGTTCCCAGCACTACCACAGCAGGCACTTCTCTGATTCATAGCAGAAGGTCACCACTACCAAATCATCAAGGACAATGTGACTATGATATACTTGCTCAATTCCCCGATTTTCACTTTGCAGACAGAAATTCTGTAACATTGCTGACATTTCTTAATTTTACTGGGTTAGGATCTTTCCATGGACTTTTGGAAGCTTGAGATGACCTTTTTCATTTCCACTGTCTTTCACCCAATCCGTGCTTCTTTCCTCCCCAAGAAGTTGATCCTTCTACCCTCCTACCTCTTCCTCTCTCTCAGGCTATAGGCACAATTTTATTATTTGAAATGTATCATGGGCATATTCCTTATTCTAGGCGAGACAGAAAGAAAATGCACTTTAATGCAAATAGGTAGATGCTCACTTCCCTTAATCTAATCCCTATGAACCCTTACACTTGTGAAGTGCACCTTGTGTTACTAAACAGATCACCATGGACTTATCAGAATCTTGAATTCACAGTTGAGGCTGCTTTTCCTCCTGACTGAGGGACTCAGTAACCATATTTCTAAACTATTTCTCAAGTCTCTTAGAGATATTGATGTCTCTAGTTGAAACAAAAAACACTGATAGTCGGTCACTAGAGACAAGTAAACAGGGAGATGAAGTTTAAACTGCACTTGACAAAGCATTTGTGTAGCTGTATCCCATCAAACTTCACAGACTGAAGTCATTGAGATGAGAAACTGAAGGTGAAATTTAAGGTAGTTTTGGGTGGTTTTTTATAAGTGGAGTTGAATCTTGAGCATTTTTCAAATGGCTTTAGTACTGTATTTCAACAGCATTCTCACTTAAATTGATTTTTCCTCTAAAACTCTTTTCTTGAAGGCTCATATAAACTGCATAAAGCAAGATGAAGCCATCTCTCCTGGTCATAGTATTTCCAGGTTTTCCACTTGAACCTATGTAGAAGAAAAGTTTCTTGTGGTTTGTTATTCCCAAGTATTCCTTTAGCTCAAAAGAACTTCCTGGCTTATGTGTATTCACAGTTTGTTTGTTTTACGTATTCAGCAAATGTGTTCCTCTTTCCCTGATCCCATTATCCACCTGACCAAGAAGGCAAGGGAGCCAGAGACCAGGCTATGAAACACTGCTAACAAACAAGACTCCAGCTTAGATAGCCTATTAATATCAGCAACTTTGCAATGGCTCCTTAGCCTACTTTTAGGATCTTCTCTGGTCTTTAGAAAGGCTTTTCTTTCATACCATTCAATTTCTTATCAGAAAAGGAATGCCTCTTGCTATCAGAGGGAGACTTTTCAAAATCTCCTTTAGACTCTGTATGTTAACCATTCTCACTGGCTCTTTCTTCCCAATGTCTCTCATCACTGACATTGTCTAACTGCCTTGCATTTCCAGGCTCTCCTATCACCCTTGCTTCTTAAAGAGACCAACACTAGACACTTGTGTTATGCAAATATTCCTGCAGTTCGGCCAGCCAGGAGAAAGATAACACAAAGCAGTAAGCAAGGAAAGAACAGTGAGAGAAGTTCCGCATTTGTAAATCTCTCCAATATATCCAGGCACTGAGAACCTTGTGTGGTTGTTTCAGTGAGTACCCTCTTCTTTTTGTATGTTTACCTTTTACAGATACTGGAATGACTTTGAGGTTTCCTTGTGAGAACTCACTTCTCCCGAGCAGTGCCCTGCCTTGGCATACTTACTGAAAAGGACTAGGCTGGCGTTGGTGACTCCCAGCTTGTTGGCAGCCACGCAGGTATAGTTGCCGTAGTGCTCCTCAGTGACATTGGTCACCGTCAGGGAGGACTGACCCTCCGTGCTCTTGATCTCAAGGCCATTGGCACTGTTTATCCTACAAATTCAAAAACAGGAGGCAAAAGGAACACTGATGAGGGTTAATGTGGTAATTTCTTCCCGTCCTTACGTTTGAGGCAAGGATTGAAAGAAAGTAGAATTGGTTGCTTAACCCCTCATTTTAACTGTGATATCCCTATGATCAGAATCGATGTCCATCCATGGAGAAGACTTGGGATTGGGTGAGTTCCATGGGGCTTGAGTTTATGCTATAGACAGGTGGGAATTACCTATCAAACCCTCTACTTAATTTTGATACTTTATAAGTGTTTTGGGGGCCTGTCATTCTAAAGCCCAGAAGCACCCATGTAAAGAGATGGCCCATGGAAGATTCAATTAATACAGGTCTACATAATTGCAACTGGGCTTGGTTTTGCCACTGGGCCTCTGGTGCCTGCAGGACTACCTAATAGAGCAGCAGGGTTACAGTAGGCTGGGCACATACCTGGTGTCATCCCGGTACCACTCAAAGTCAGGTGCAGGCACTGCCGAAGCCTCACATTTGAGTGAAGCTTGTCGCCCTGTGGTGGCTTCATTGCTCTTGGACTCTGTGATAGTGGGAGGATCTGTAAGGAGGACAGGCACAGTGATTAGGGATTGATATGAGTCTCCATTCAGGAAGGAATTAAGGACAATCAATTGGAGAGAGGTAAAAAAGAGTGGTTTGAAAACTCCACTTACGTGAAGTGTGTGGTATGCTGAATGGGTTTGATCACCAGAGAAATAAAGATAAATGAAATTCATCACAATAAGAGATGACTTGGTTAACTTAAAAGAGATATTTAACAGCTTTATGGAAAAGGAATGTAGGACTTTTTTTCCCATCTTCCAATAGACCATCAATTATTCCAATCATAGTAAAATATTTACATACTATTTTTCATAAATTACGATACTCAAGGACTTGTGATTTTAAATGTGTGATTTGAATTTTCCCTTTTCTATCATCAACACTATTATTACAGTTTGAGAGGGCATTGAGGAGTCAAGGAAATAAATAGAAGACTGAATTTTTCCTAGTCCAAGCTTAACCTCATATCATGGCAAGAATTCAGAAACCAACAAAAACCTAGAAGTAAGTGATGACTTTATTCCTGTTCTTATCTTTACAACCTTGGTAAATTATACTTTCATGTATGGGGGTGCAAGCAAATTCCACCCTAGAGCATAGTGTGTGAGTCTTCTGCTGTTTCTGAGAATTTTTACTTGACAAAACTGTAACAGGCTTGAAATGAGCTCAGAAAAACAGCTGACATTTTTATTTGCCATGATACTTCCCAGCACTGCCACAGGGCAGGGCAAATATCTACAGGTCCCCATGATCAGGACAAGCTCGTAGACGCTCATGCGCCTCCAAGGAGAAAAGGACTTTTCCATCCAAAGGTCAGAAAATGGCAATTTGCCTGTGTACAAGTGGGAAAAAACAGACCCAATCTGTTTAGACTTTGTAGAGGAAAAAGCTAATTTAGAGCAATTAGGAAAGTGAACTTTAATATACAAAATTCATTTAAACCCTGGTTCTTCAGCACCTGGTCCATCATTTTTCTTCATATTTGAAAACTCTAAGATTTTTGCCTCTTAAAAGCAGGTACAAAAGCATCAGCCTCATCTCCATCTTCCTGCTTCATTTCATTTTCTCTTTGGCTTGAAAATCTTTTATGTTGGGGCTGGTGTTGTGGTAAAGCTGCCTCCTGCGAGTCCCGTCTGTACCACTTCCAGTCCAGCTCCCTACTAGTGTGCCTGGGAGGACAACAAAGGATGACCCAGGTAATTGGGTCCCTGCACCCATGTGGAAGACCTGGATGGAATTTCTGGCTTCAACCAACTGTTGCAGCCATTTGGGGAGTGGACCAGCAGATGGAAGATCGATCTGTTGTTTAGGTAAATATTTTTTAAAAGCTTCTGTAAGTAATTGTCAGAGAAAGGAATAGATTTGAGAAACATTGTCAGTCGTGTGTGAATGGCATACAGGGGCAGTTGGGTGTTGTTTTGTTTGGAATGACCTCTGTATAGGTACAAAATGAGAAGATGAAGTGATGCAAAGAACCCTGGATTTCCATTTGGCTATGTGGACCACCCATCATACATTGAATCTTCTGGGCCTTGGTTTTATTACATATGCCATGAAGGAACTATGCTTGAAATAATCTACTGCATCCAATATAGCCAAAAAATATGTCCATTCTAATCCAAACCGCCTATTCTTCACAAACAGGCAGTTGGTATCATTAAAACTCCAGTGGTTATTAAAATACCCTTAACTCGTTTAACCATTAAGTTTCTAACTTTCCAAATAACTCATCTATCTGTTCCATGGGCTAGGGGTCAGGATTAGCCAGTAGGACCAACTTTTCCCCTACTCTTAATCATGAATGTAGTCTGGGCAAGCATCTGCACCACGGTAGCATCCTCCAACCCTGCTGTCCCTGTCCTTTTAAAAGATAGAGCTAGCTTAAAATGATCACCAAGGCTCCATCTTTAATTCTGATGACTGGTTATTCAGACCATTAGTGCACATCAGTTCAAAAGATGATGGACTACTTAGTGATACTAGTACGGGAGTACTAGAAGTATGCAACATAGAATAGAGGTCATAAGCCTAGATTTAAAGTGTGATAGATCTGAGCTTAAATCTAGACTCTCTTCCTCATTGACTGTCCTCATTAGAAAGTCCAGCATGTTGCACAGAGACACACTGTTTCAATTTCTTTCATCTATAAAAATGTTTGAACCAGAGACCGACAGGGTCATTGGAGGCTGCTGGAGAAGAAAGACAACAGTGGTGAGATAAACTGTATGAGGGTTCAGAATTGACCAGACAAGTACTGGATAACTGTAAAGGGTGAAGGGAAGGAGGAATGTCAAAATGGTAACACCCAGGGTTTCTGACTTAGGCATCTCCATGATGCCATCCACTGGATAAGATACATAAAATAGATGACCTGCAGCAAAATATTCAGTAAATGCTTGTTTCTCGTCCTCGTCTCCTCATGCAGTGACTCCACAGTCTGTGGCACAGTGGCCACTGATGAATGCCTGATGATGACTGCTGTGCACCTCAACATAACATTGGCATGGGGGTGGCCTGCAGGCTGTTCCACCTCGATACCAGGAACACAGGGCCCACTGCTGAAGACTCGCTCCTTACTCCGGGTACCCCCTTCTATGTGCCTATTTAGTGTACCTACTGCTCTGGGCCTAGGAAGAGGGAATGATTTTTCTTGCTGAAACATCTGGACTCATCTTTTCCTCTAGGTCCTGTTGAGCCCAGCTGCTGGCAGAGAGCAGTTCCTGTTTCTCCATCTGGCAGTCTGGACCCTCTCTTGCCTGCTGCAATGCCATGGCTGAGCCTGAGGATGGGAGTTGCCCCACACTAAGCTGCTACGTTTAACCATCATGATCTCTGACAACAGAAGCCTCTGTACCTTCCAGACTAGTCCTTTACTTATTTCTCTATTTAAAGAAAGAATGGCTAAGCAGTCAACTCTTCATTAGCCCCTCAGCTACCCCAGTCTTGGGAAACTGACAGTAGACTAGATTTGAATACTTGAAGGTACATAAATCTCAGGACAGGAGGACACTGACCCATTAAAAATGGCCACACACCTGCTTCTCTATTGAAAGCCAAGGGATTCTCCTGTACCAGGGTAAATTCACAGATACTGATAAATGGAGGAAAAGTCATTATCCATACTACTTCTCATATGATACTGTGGTGCAGGGATGTTCTTTCAAGGCTTTTGGGAATGAATATTTCATTCAATTACGCTTCATTCATCCCAAATGAACTTGGTATAAGTGTGGCTAAAAAAGATTGTTATAAATTATACTGTGGCATGCTAGTATAATTAAGATAATAGATATCCTTCTCAAAATATGGTTGTAATAAAAGTGGAGCTTTCTACAGATGTTGCACAGAGAGGGCCACTGTTTTCTTTGCATGACTTTGGAATAGCTTATGACTATCTCAGGCCTTTTCCAGTTTTTATTACTTCAAAATTTGGGGTTCTATAAACATTCATAAAGCCTTTCTTATTCTCATATCACAAATAAGAAGACTCTTTCAATTAAAATGAACACCATGACAATGGCCTAGGAAACAAAACACCTTTGATTTAATCTTCCTAATATTGAGAATAATAGGATCAAAGAATCAATTTTGAATTAAAGATAGAATATATATAGGCATCATTTACTATGTGTCAGCACTCCACTAGGCTTTAGGTATCTCCCTTTTTTTTCCCCCTAAATAATAGCTCTAAGAGGAAACTGCTGTTAACTCATTTTAGGAATGAGAAGACAGGCTTCCAGCAAGCTAGTATCTTGTCCACAGTTACATTGCTGATACTGGGCAAGGCATAGTTTTAGCCCAGATCTGACATGTTCTGAAACCCATGCTCTGAACCTCTTTGCTCAGTTACTTCTATTTGAATGAATGCTCTCAATTTTAGTGGCTAATGAGTTCCCAATACCTAAAAATACCATTGAACCTAGGCACTATGGGATGCAGGTGTCTTAATGGCCAGGTCAGACTCCTCCCCTGGATGTCATATTCTTACTCTTCTTACAATTTGTCTGTATTTGTCAGAAAGTAATTAGCACAGTTAGGCACAAGATTACATTTACCTTTCACTCTAAAGGATGCATACCACCCAAATAACTTTATTGAGTGGAATAAGACTACTTTTAACATAAGGCCAATTTTTCAGTATGTCGAGAATGGCTCAGTGTATCAATAAAGTGATCCATGTGTCATGAAAAAAAAAAGAAAACTTAGGGTAGCAGGTAGGTAGATTGAAGGGCAAATACTATGTATTTATGCTCTTCAGGTCCCAGTAGTGGCACAACGTGCAATGGAGGCAAAAGATGGGGGCCCAGTTTCCTCCTGTGCCACTTAGCTTGTTAGCATAGACATGAAGTCTGTAAATGATATCTTCCTGCCTATGTCAGAGGTCTGAAGTAAGTATCAACCAAAATCATACATGTAAGAGCAGTTTCAACACACAAAGAAATTTTTTTTTTTAATTTCTGTTTTGGCCTGGCATGCTGGGGGACGCTACCGCCTCACACCGTCCACAGGCACTCTGGATTAAGGCATCTGAACCCGACTCCCTTTCAATCAGCCAAGGGCAATGGAGGTCATCGCCCGTCCCTTCGGAACGGCGCTGGCCCATCTCTCACAACCGACTGACCCATGTTCACCTGCTGTTCACATGGAACCCTTCTCCACATGAAGAGATTTTTTCATTGCTAAGCCTCACATGGTATCAGGGAAGCAGAGAGGCCTTTGAAGTGAGACACGCATTAGATTCCTAAGTCTGCCACTCCCAAAGTCTATGATTTCTGTGGGCTTTGTTTTTGTACTGACCCTCTTCCTCTTGTAAGGTTGTTGTAAAGTGGTGTAATGAGGCAGCAGACAGAGAGTGCAAGCAATAAGAAAGGCAGCTGTAGAGAATTTAGCAACAATAGTTAGATTGACTTGAAGTTATCTGTTTAAAAAAACTCCTCCTGTACCAGCAATACTAAACCAAATGTACTAAACAACTAAAATTCTTCCTTGCAGGGGCATACCAGACCCCTATATCACTGTCAGTGTGATGATTACAGCAAAAGTATGTAACTAAGATAATTTGAGTATTCTGAAGATTTCATAGCAAAATCATAAACATTTGAATTTATCTTTACTGATAACGTCCCAAAGGCAAGAATAAACTAAAAGTCAATATGGAAACTGGATTGCTATAGCAATGGATAGCTACAGAAGATGATTGTTCCATGTCAAGCAGTCATTTTCCCAAAGTTTCCTCATTACTTGATTTTTTTAATCAAAATAGGGAAGAGCCTGGTTACTTGTGTGTGTGTGTGTGTGTGTGTGTATAAAATCTAGAGACAACAGGTATTCCTAGTCCCAATTAGTCCCAATCTGTTTTGTGATAATTTCTATTTCATCTAGAGAAATGGCTATCAAATTTAGGGGTGACTTTGAGAAGTGCTAGCATCCAGGATATGTGCTGGTAGAATTCATTAGTTCTGTACAGCAGAGTGGAAGTAGAGTTGAGTCCCAAGAGAGATAAATGGGACAGAACAGTTGAAAAGGACAATGTGAACTTTTTGGAAAGATGGCTGTTGGAAGGTAGACAGTAGGGACATTACACAGCCAATGGGGGAGGAACCAGTTTTGAGAACTGGAAGCAGCTTTTGAGAAGAATTTCTCCAGGGAAAGGAAGAGTCCAGAAAAGAAAGAACCCAAATAAAAGTAATAGTCTGTATTTCCTGAAGCGTTATTATGTGCTAAACATCACCCTAGGGATCCTGGGCACTAGAGTGAGACAAACTCATAAGCAGATAGTTCTAATGTACTGTGAGAACACCTGGAACTTGAAATGAAAGGATAGACTGTCCCTAGAGCTGATATCTGGAAGAAATTAGCAGCTATGTTATTGTTAAAATACAGGGAGCCAGTGGAAAGAACAGGGCCATCAAAGAAAGAGGTACCTTTCTCTGAAGGGAGGAGAGAACTTCCACTTTGACTATGACCTTGTCTAAATAAGATCGAAGTCGGCGAACTCAAAAGGCTTCCATAGCCTTGGCAACTCATGACTAGAGCCTAGGGAGATTACTGACGCCATAAACAAGAGTGTCAAATTGTTAAGTCAACAACAGGAGTCACTGTGTACTTACTTCTCATGTGGGATCTGTCCTTAGTGTGTTGTCCAATGTGAAGTAATGCTATAACTAGTACTGAAGCAGTATTTTACACTTTGTGTTTCTGTGTGGGTGCAAACTGATGAAATCTTTACTTAGCATATACTAAATCGATCTTCTGTATATAAAGATAATTGAAAATGAATCTTGATGTGAATGGAATGGGAGAGGGAGCAGGAAATGGGAGGGGTGTGAGTGGGAGGGAAATTATGAGGGGAGAAGCCATTGTAATTTATTTACTGTACTTTGGAAATTTATATTTACTAAATAAAAAAAATACAGGGAGCCAGAAGTTCTGTCTACTGTATGCATTTTACTAAGCTCATTTAAATGACGAGATTTCAAGCCAATAATTTAGCTTTCTGTAATTTCAAGGGCCTCCCACCATTCAGAAAATAGATTTTGCATATTCACAGCTATACACAGTGCCATGTACCAACTGTGGAGAAGGGTTATCCAAGAGAAGTTAAAAAGAAAGACTATAGACTCCAGTTTGTGGGCTTGACAGGAGAAACTATTATCTCTCTCTTGTTTACTGCTCTAGCCTCTCAGTGCCCTGCAACAAACATCTGTTGGCAGCTGAGAAAATAAATCAATGAAGTGTTGGTGGGAGAAAGTTAGTAACACTGGGATATTTTTACAGTGGTATTCATAGTCTATTCATTACAATATTCAGCCAGTAGTTCTCTCAGCTATCCAGATCCACTGACCTAATTCCAAAGCCCATGTTTTGAAAAAGAAGAGGGATCAATTAAATGATGGGGCATTTTCATAGCAGACAGGTTTAGTTACAAAGCTGCTAATACATATTTCTCTTTATGCAGAGGCTTTGATAAGACAACTACGTTCTTTAATACAATCTTTGAGATTTCAGTTACTTGATACCTATACTTAAGTAGGGAGAATTGCTTGGGACAACTGATGTGGTAACTAGTTTTAATATAAAATAAATACAGCTTATGAAGTTTTAAGTAAAAAGAGGATTCCAAAAAGACTGACACCTTCCTGATTTGTGACCTGTAGTATTTACAAACTTTGGAGAAATGTTAAGAGGGCAGAGCTTACCACTGATTCAGTAAACATTGACTGAACAATTTCTGTAATGTCAGAAATGCACTAGGTCCTGCTGGTTAAGACATATTGGAAATTTAATTAAATTTCATATAGCTTTTCCTATAATTTGTTGTAAGGAATCTTTTGGGCATCTTGAGGTTCTGACCATAGTCTTCTGCATTTCACTTATCACTAGCAAAAGCTCACATTTTCATAAAAGTCTTTTCTTGAAAATTATCAGTATTTTCTTCTGTTCTAAATTACACTTTGGGGACAGTCAAAAAAGGAGCAATGTCAGACTAATTGCGCTAATAATAATAGGGCCCAGGCGGCTAGCTTTGATCTTGGGAACCATCTGCAGTCCAGACCACTTTGATGTTTCATACAATGGAAGCATAAATATTTTCTATTTACTCCATGATTGGACTTTCAGAAATCTAATTAAGATGAAGGTCAATTAAGAGAAAATGAAATCTTGACTCCAAAAGTTAGGGACGGGGTGGAAGATGAGGGCATGGTTATGGAGACATAAAAGAGGCTAACTAACCTAATTATAAACTTATATAAACACCCAGAGAAATTGCCTTTCATGTGAAAAAAGTCCTAAAGCATTTTATAACATTGAGATCATTAATGTGTCTTTGAAACACACCCAGTACTAGAAAAGAATAGTAATACTGGCATTTCAAAATTCTATTACTAAAAATTTTGGAGACAGCTAAGGATGAAAGCCCTACCGAGCTCATCAAATGCAGCCCATTTCGACAGCAGAGTCATATCTACGCGATCCTTCTAGGAGCTGTGTAAGGAAGATTCTGCTGCCTGTTTCAGAGGGCTGCAAGGATTAAGGCAATCTGTAAGCAAATTTCCTCTGTTCTCTAAGCCTCAGTATCCAAATTCCTAAAGTACAATTCATGATACTTATCTCAAAGTTTTACAGTAGAAAATTAAAATCTCTTAATCCAATACTACACAGAGTAGGTATGAGACATTGAAAATGCCTCTTCTTTCTCCTGAGAACATGCGCTTTAGGAGCAAATGAACCTGACATCAACTCCTTATCCCTAAATTGGCAACTTTCACTCCTTGGGCTTGAGTTTCTCAAGCTTGAAAACAGAGTCAATAGTATCTATATTACTATAGTTGTTGAGAGGACAACCATAGAGAATTTTCTATCAAGTCCCTAGCACATGGCAACTCATCACAGCAAAGGGTGCTTTCAACTATTGGTTAAAGATGTCTGTGCACCTGTGTCGACATACATACGTGTTTGTGTATGTGAAGTCGGATACAAATGCACAGAAGGGAAGAACTGTCGGGGCATCCTTTTATCTCTGTCACAAGCCACAATTGTGTGATGTGAAAGCTTGATTTTGAATGGCGTAGAAAGTCACTCCTAACTGAATAGGGTAAACAAATTCTCTTTATTCCTTTGCTGGGTGACACACATCCTATGGATCCTCTCCCCTCCCCCTTTTGAACTACATCTAAGGATCTTTTCATCTGAGAAGTTCAAAGTCTTCCCACTTACCTATGCATCTTAGTGAAATCTTCAGTTCTAATGCCCATACTTTGGGACAAATAGATAACCAAATTAACTTAGCAGGCATTCCTGCTAGCCAAGAAGGACACATGGTATCTGACCACAGTGGCTTGTATTTGTTCCCCAAAGTATTTAAATAGCAGAGGATAAAATACAATCTTTCAGCATTCCATTCTGACAAACAATGCACTAAGATGGAAATTTCAGTGAAAGCAGATATACATAGTTGCTTTGCCCAAAGTATATGGCCTTCATTTCCACAAAGACCAGATTCATGACTTCCCTGATCATGTTCTCTTAATTCTATAGTCTGAGGAAAAGACAAAGGCTATTGTTAAGTGTATGGTGCGTTATATTTAGAATTGCTTGAGTTGATTTATCAAATTCAAAGGCTACATCCTGCCCTTGGAGGTGTCCAATGTATAAATGTGCATCCCTGACCAGAAGAGCATCTGTTTGAAAGGCAATGCTACTCTGCTAATGGAATTTAGCACTTGCTTGAGGTAGAGGTGTGCCCTGGGCACATAGCACCTGCTGGTTGCTGCCATACTCACAGTTCACAGTGACCTTGACTTGTTTGACATCCGCCGAGGAGACTTCATTGGCAGCTTTACACTCATATTTGCCTGACTGCTCCCTGGTGATGCCAAGGATCTCCAGATATTCTTCTTCCCCTTCAAATTCTCTTCCTGAAAAACAGGATTACATGATTTTCTTTAAGGTCTAAAATAAGCACATTGCCTCATTTTTCTTTGCAAAAGCAATAAATACACATGGCTTTTCAATAATTTGACAGTGCGCTTTGTATGAGGTCAGATTTCTACAGAATAAGACCCCAAGCCAAAAGTCTTATGAAAGTGATTAAATCAGAAGTGAAGTGTTCTTGGGAAACACTAGTAGGAGAGTGGGGAAAATAGGACCTGGAAGAGAAAGAAACCAAGCAAAAATGGGATGCCAAGTTACGTTGCACAGAAAACAACTTTGGCGCAAGCCTTCAGGGAGTTATTGGGAACTCAAAGTTTAGTAATTATGAGGCAAGAAGCTAGAGTATTTACTAATCCTTTGGAAGGCAGTACACAGAGTTGTGAAGTAGTGACATCACCAGTTAATACCATGCACAATGAACTTTGCACACCAAAATGATTACTTGGGAAACCACCACTCTTTTGATTATGTAGAATTCTATTTACAAGGATCACGTGATGAACCTTGTCTTGCCCAATGGCTTCCCTACTCTTTATCAAATTATTTTATCATTGAAGCTTTCAGGTCATGAGCTAGATCCATGAGAAAGTCCAACTGATGTTGTGTTTGTGGTCTACCATGTCTCCCAGGGTTTTCAGCAGGGAGCTGAATAGCACTGGCTTCAAAGTTGCAATTAGGGGCCAGCGCTTTGGTGTATTAGGCTAAGCTTCCAACTATGGTGCCAGCATCTCATGTGGGTGCTGGTTCTTTTCCTGGCTGATCCTCTTCCAATCCAGCTCTTTGCTATGGCCTGGGATAGCCTTGGAAGTGGGCCCAATTCCCTGGCCCCTGCACCTGCGTGGGAAACCTCTAAGAAGCTCCTGGCTTTGGATCAGCACAGCTCTGGCCATTGTGGCCGACTGGGGGAGTGAACCGGTGGATGGCAGACCTGTCTCTTCCCCTCTCTGTGTCTGTTACTTAGTCTTTCAAATAAATAAATATTTAAAAAAATAGTTGCAATTAGGGACATGTAGGCCCTTTTTGGGACCATCTAGAAGGTTGATCGTGTCCAATTTAGTCCATAATTCTCAGGGTAGGCAGGCTTTGCTTATTTGGAGTATAATTATTAAGTGACTTTCTTCCTGTCCAGATTGAGAGAAATGAGGCAGAGGAAGTACTTAGCCAGAATTTGAGCGAAAACCAGTGGATTTTACTCTGACTAAACTGAAGCCTCCTCATGCCAAAATTTCAAAAAGTCCACTGCTGCTTGGGACAGGACAGAGCAGCTGGGGAGGCACTGAAGACCAGGATCATGCCACCATGACAGAATCCTGCTCCTGGTCATCCGACACCAAATGGTACCAATTAATAGCTCTGCTCAAATGCCACAAGCTGTTTTCCTTTTCCATCAATTCCCTGATGGCCAAATCAACATAACAGCCAGCCAGCAAGGAGATGAATTTACCATCTAAATATGTCAGCTAAGCCTGTTAACCAGACTCCCAACAGAACACAGGGCCTTTGTGATAATATCCTATAACAAAACTCTCAGGAATATTCTAAGCTTTAAGTCTTCAGTCACTTGTCCAATCACTTGTTTTGAGGAAACTTTGCAATCCCAACAATATTCAGTAAGAATATAAAATTATATTTTTCTGAAGTTCTGCACATTATCTATCTTATGCTTCCACTGAGAACAGTTTAGAATCAATCTATTTCTAAAGCAAGGTATTATCTATAAAAAAGTCGGCTTCTTTTTTCTTGTCTATTTGCCATTATTGCCTTCCGCATATTCGAGCAGTCAATCCAATTGTAGACATTACAGAAGTAATAGGGAATTCAGAACAGGAGCTAGATTTGGTTTGAGGCGGGGAAAGGAGAACATTAGTGTATTCCTCCTTCTAATGGCCTGAGAGTCATGTCAACTATTTGATGCCAAAAGTTTTGTAGCTAAAAACAACTACCATGAAGACTAAGGGCAACTTTGACAGTTTTTACTTAGTAGGCTGAAAGAGGTATAAGCTAATTAAAAACCTCAAGTGCAGAGGAGGAAGAGGCAGTAAGATAGCATCATTGATTTCGAGAACAATGGCACATTTTAATGATCAAGGAGTTCAAATTAATTCAGAATGTTTTAGGATTTCTTCCTCGGCCTCCTCCATACTCATAAAATCTCTTCCCAGAGAGGGCAGGAGAATCAAGAGAAAACATGTATATTCTGCTGAGGGATGGCTGACAACACTGAATTCTTTTCAGTTCCTATAAAATATGTAGAAATAGTTAGTTCTGGATCCCTACATTGCATTTTGAATTTCTAAAGGAAACTGGGTGCAGGGGAGGGAAAGATAATTTTACCAGCACCAACTAAGGCTCTTGTAGTTTGTGGAAGACTGCCCCTCTGAGGGTACATACTAAATTGAATGAGGTAAAATAAAGCACTATTTATTGGGGTTTGAGCCTGGGATTCTCACATGCCAAGGTAAGTATTATGCTCTCGTTTTTTTCCTGATAAGCAGATAAAAACCAATCCGTATCAGGTATACTTTTGATCTCACCTCTCTAGGAAGAACTTCCCCGTGGTACTAGCTAAGAATGCAAGGGGAGCTCCTCTCTCAGTGACATGCACGTGAGGCAGAGGGCACTTTTTCTTCTATGATAGCACTCCCCACTATGTCCACAACTCTCAGACTGGAGAAGTGTCAAGGTGCAAACTAAGTCCAGGTAACACAACCCCTATCATCTTCCTACATTCCAACCACACCCCACCTCCCTCGGCCCTCCCTGTTACCCTATTTCCTTTATTTAGCCTTGGGTTCCTCCAGTTAAAACTACGGTATTACTAGGCATTTCTTATTAATCTGTTCACCTCACACCCACAGGAGATGTTTTCCATGATGCATTATCTATATTATTTCACTTGAGAATCTTATTAATGTACCATAATTTGACAGGAAATGGGAGATTTTCAGTTGCTAGAAAGCAAAATTTCCAGACTGTGAGCTCCTCAGGGAACATTTCTTATAATATCACCACAAATTAGCACAGGGTTTGGCAGAGGTTAATCACTCAATAAACGTACATTGCCTTATTGTGTTATAGATGGAATACTTACATCCCTTCAAAATTTACATGTTAAAGCTTATGCCTGAATAATTAGATCAAAAAGGATGGCATCCTCATCAATGAGATTAGTGTTCTTATAAAAGGAGTTCTAGAAAGTTCCTTTGCCCCTTTCATCATGTAAGGACATAGCCAAAAATGGCCATCTTTGAACCAGGATGTGGGCCCCTGGTACACACTGAATCTAATGGTGTCTTGATCTTGGACTTCCCAGCCTTCAAAACTGATAGCAATAAATTTCGCTTGCTTACCATGTTATTTTTGTTATAGCAGCCTGAATGACTAAGAAATAGCTGAACTAAATTAAAAAGCACATGCTATACTAGCATCAGGTTCAACTCTTCATACAATTTAAGAGAACACAGGTAAGTACCAGAGGGTGTCTCAGGATTCGTGTAAGAGAAGCTGGTTTAAAAATCTGTTTGTTTTCAATGGTCGTAAAAGAGGGCCATTTCACTGGAGGACAAAGGATGTGTGGAGTCCTCTACTGTTGACAGCATCATCTCTGGCCATGTGTGGAAGGTATCTCTGCTCCATGGAGTTACTGTTTCAAGAGCCAATGGGACCCCTCCGTGGACACAGGTGCAGAAAAGATGCCATTGCTTTCATCTTGGCAAGCCATTTCTGGTTTCAAGGCATGGAATACACTATGTGAATCCTGAGTCACAAAACTCTAAGTTACACACAGATTCTGTTGCTCCTTTCTCTTTGGCCCTGTGTGTCTGTCCCCATGGAGTCACCTTGTCCTCAATTCTTTCTATTCACTCTTACCAGCTCCTCTCAACCTTAAAAAGATGCTCAGACCAGAAACTGATGCATGCCCTGCTGTTCTCAGTGGACTAGCCCTGCGCTACCAGCTGGGTCCTTCTCTTGTTCCTATCAATTTCTGCCTTTGTATAAATATTTACTGGAAATGCAAATTACTATATTTTGGTATTTTGAACATCTCAACCAATTTCCACAGGCTTACTCACACTGCCCAATTTTATATTTATTCTGGGATCTGGTGTTTAGTTTAAATCTCCCTTTGCTTAATGTACTTTTGTGCCTCCTGGCAATATCCAGCTACCAGGCTAAATAACTCCTTGTCCTCCTCCATGTATGCACCTTTCCAACTCTTGCTCATAATTAGCATATCCCCGTTAGTCACTGTTTGCTTAAGTTGTTCATATTAGTTCTTTTAATATTTCTTCCTAAGTCAGAAAGAAAGGCCTACAGCTAACCAGAGGAGGAATGTAATCTCTTTTGTGCTTTCCAACGTGGAGGCAAATCAGCCAGGAATAACTCCAATTAAAGTACAGCAGGTGCCGCCTTCTGAGTTTAGTGCCTTCAGAGCGACCATACTTTGGGGAAACCCATAGTTCACATCCACAATGTTGAATTATTTAGATTTTTAAGGTCAACTCGGCATTTGTAAGGAAGCAGTTATTTGAAATTAAATATATTTCCATGATTCTTTTCTCTGTTTCCCTTTTTTCTCCTCTTCTTATGCTTTCCGCATTTGATGCTATCTGTCTCCCCCCACCAACACACGTATGCACACGCACACTGTCTGTCTTTCCATACACATACTCATTCTCTGTCTCTCATATACACATACATTTACATAGTTATTAACAAATGTTCATTCTTAACTTTTAGGATGTAGTATATAAATTTATTAACTCCCAAGTGTATGCTTACTAAATAGAAAAGGTTTATTCTTAAAAATTTCCCAGTCACTTGGAACGACTACTATCCTAATTATCAGTGTGATACCTGCCTTTTTCCCTCTTTGAGATACAGAAAAAATGTAGTCTCAGAAACTTGCTACCTTTGACTGCTTTATAACTTTAAAAATGTAGGATTCTTACACATTGGGAAATGGGTGAAATTTTACCCAATG